AACCTTGGATATCAGCAACTACACTGAACCTGCATGAGCAACAGTAAGGAGTAACAGGTGAACTCTAAATATTTCAATAAATGGAAGCTGGGTCCACAGATCTGGCGAAGGGGAGTCAAGAAAAGTATTGACGGACGAGGCCGAGGCGATCGACTTAAAGTTTTGGTTTTGTTTTTTAATGGAATCTATGCCAAAAGATATCAAAATGCTCACTAGTTTTATCTTGTAAATGAGCTTTTTTTTGATGGTGGTCTCTGTAACAGCAGTGCTTAAGCCATGGTAAGGATTAACAGAAAATGTTTATCTCTCAACATTTTTCTCTGTAAACTATTGCATGCCCTGTTGCTCTATCAATAAACCAGACCATTGTTCTCTGCATTGATACAATGACTTGTTCTTTCTGCTCTCTAGTCATTTCAGTAACGACAGCTGTGCAGATGTAAAGAATCACTGCTCGTCTGAGCAAAACATTTTCCTGCTGCAGTTTAAGAACTGCCACAACACACCACACACTTAGACTAACGCACACACATCTCAAGCACTGGACTGTAGTGCCATCTAGTGGCTGTCAGAGGTGGGTGGATGTTTATACACTCAGTTGCCAGTCGATTAGGTCAATCTAGCTAAACTTAATGCAGTCTAATACAGTCCTGCAATAGATCATTCCTTTGTGAAAGTTATAATGTTCGTTTTTTGTTGAAACCCTAACGCAATTAGATAATCAGGAAAAACTATGACTTATAATAATAATTTATAATTTATAATTTCCAAATGAAACACTACAGTCACTTCATGGAAATCAACGTAAATCAGTGGGCCCTTCATTCAGGTAAACAGAGAGGAAGGAAAAAGAAAACTAACCGGAGGGATCGCTTCTGCTTTTTGAGGCCTTAAGTATCCGCTGTCTCCAGACGGCCGTCAGTTCACCGAGCTCTCTGGAGAGGAACCAAGAAGAAAGAACATCAGAGATTACTTTATTCAGTATACATACATTTAATCTAATTTCTTTTGATAATGTTATACTATGGAACCCTGATGAAGAGTGCGCCGGTCGCTATTGTCTTGCTGGCTGTGATTCACTCTGGATCTGGAAGTAAGATTACGATTTAGATAAAGATAGTACAAGATCTTACAGATTGCTTTTCTCTCTTTAATTATTTTAGTAGTGTGTTAGTAGTGTTTTGCATCACCTTATTTCATTGATTCCAAGGGGAATATGACTGAATCTGACCTGGTGGCAGACATTAAGAAGAACTATTTGCATGTAAGAAAAAAGAAAAAATATTTTTATCTCCAGAAGGTTTGTTTGTTAAAGACATTGTCACTGCTGTCTGTTGCATATCCTATTAAGGGAACAGAACATTAAATGATGTTTTAAGGGAACCTGTATATCTGTATATGTATATGTGATTAATATTGTGCTGTGCTTTTAAATATATAGCTGGTGATAGGAAATTCTAAAGCATTGACACAGGTGATATGTTTGAACTTGAATTTTTAAACTAAACTTGAGTGCCATCTAGTGGCTGTTACAGGTGTGACGCAAATGTGAAAAACAAAACTAGATGGTTACACATCCAGATAGTGGATTACATAAACTATTAATTGAACCAATTAATTAAGTAAGGGTGAATTTGTCAAGAAGTTAATGATTATGGACTAAAAAACTGAAACTGTATTCATGTATTTATTACCAAGTGTATTTATAAGTGTTCACAAGTTATTGTTATGCTCAGTGCAATGTTTTTATTCCATGCATTTTAAAGTAAACTATTAAATCCATTGAAGTGTTCTAAGAAAATGTGTATTGGTTTATTTATTTACTTGAATGCTAGTGATAACTTTTGTCTAAAAGAGCTGCTGTCCAACTATAACATTGGTCAGAAATAAATGTTGCACATGTGATCCTGCATCAAACAGTATCTGACCCAACATACAGCAAACCTCTGGTCCAAGTATCATACAAGCTGTATTTGTCTGCTCCATTCACTTTGTTGGGCAGCAGTAAGTTTCATTCATTCTAATTTAGCATCATGCTTGTTAATGGTGTCGCACATTGAACATGAAACTGTTGATTTAACTCCTCTGTGCTTGTTAAACATCCACCAGATAACATCTCTCTCTCTCTGTTTCTCTGCAAAATACTAAAATGAGTCCCTGACCGTTAATATACTGGCCACCTGCCCAAGTAAATCTATGTGTGTCAAACACTGAATAACTGAGCTTATCGGCTCTTCTGATCTACGTACATAGAGACACAGATCAAACTAATTAAAGCGAATATCGGCCAATAGGATCAGTGACCAACAAAATTATTTCACCACCACCTTGAGGAGAGCTCAGCAGCTATTGTGAGTTCTAAACCAAAAATATTTTTAAATATTTATTATTATCATTATTATTATTATTTTAGGGCCATATTACCCACCTCTAGCAGTAAGCTTGTCAGTATCTTGTCTGATCCTCAAATTATATTTTCAGTCTAATGGGCCTTTGTTGGGTTCTATATCTATATCCATATCTCTAATGAGGGGCGGATTGTGATAGTGCCATGAAGCACGTCATCAATACCTCACACAACCAAACCCACCAAGATTATCATTCTGCGTTTACCAATAAAAACCCAAACGTCCTTCAGCTTGTGTAGTTGCAGCCTGATCATTCAACCAGTCAACCAGATAACCAGACAGCGCATTGGTCAAAATGTCTACGAGGATCCTGTCCATCACTCTCCTCCTGCTCTCAGTGTGTCTGTGCTTCCAGGCCTCTGCAGGCAACCGTAAGTACCAAATAATTACCACATTATACTGAGCCAGGCATTTCATTTCTTACTTCACTTTAACAAATATTAAAATACCTTTTTTCACTCACGTTTTCCATTGAGCTGGTTTTTTATAAAGTACACACTTGAACACTTGTAGTATGTATATCGCCTCATTTCATTGATTTCAAGGGGAAGCCAACATAAATGCTAATACATTTGATATTGTCGTCTGCCATTAAATGCCATAGGAAGACTGTGACAAGTGCAGGTGTTCAGGTGTTTTACTCGCAAAGTTTTTGTGCTTCATCGTCAACTCTGAGTGAGGACGTACTTACCGAGGTATCTAATTGGTATCGAAGATCATGGAATTTCACTGGTATTGGTATCATGACATCCCTACCACATATATTAGTTTGAACTCACTATAGTTTAATGTGATCACAATGACTCTGTTTCAGTTCTTCACAGTGTAAGAAGCGTTACAGAGTGAGGAACAGGAAAAGCCCAACCTGCTACAGCTGTATCAGATTATTTAAATGGCTGACTTATATTCACTGACTTATGAACCATCAAAGGGATTTCAGCTGTTTTCCAGAATACATAGGCCTACATACATGTATGTAGATACAGTCGAACAGGATTCTATTTCAAAATCTACTTTCTACTACAAATCAATATGCTCTATCAATCTCTCATGTTCTCTGTTCGTCTCAGGGCGCATGGTTGGCAGACGTCCACCTCCTCCTCCTGCTGTGTTAATGGTTTTCCACCTGGAAAATATCACAGTGCCGTGACTGGGAACACGTATAGGAAAGGCTGACGGTCCCTGTGTGGAGGCTATAATGTAAGTTAATACATGTTGCTCAACACTCAAACATACACATACAGAACAATCTTCATCACTCTATTTATTTATTTTTTCAGTTTGACCACAGACAGAGGAGAGGCCTGTTTTGATCCCAATAGTGAATGGGTGAAGACGAGTAAGTTGTACCAACACACATACACACACACACACACGGTATGTACACAAAAACACTGATGTCTCTCTCTCTCTCTCTCTCTCTCTCTCTCTCTCTCTAGTCACCGCCAATATGACAAAGCTGTGAAGCATCGCCGCCTCTGATGGAAACATTTTCCTTCTGCTGTTTGAAAACCTGCAACTTCACTCATATATCGTGCTGCAATAATCCCCCTGAATGTTCAAACCTCGATGCTTGCAACTGAGATCAAACTAAATAATAAAAACAAAGTGTAATATGAAGCAATAAACGTATTTTCTATCCCAAACCATGACGTTTTTTTGTTTGTTTTCTCAATAAATGTTTAAATCAAAAATAAGATATGTTGCTGATCATGGCCTTCTTAGAAGTCATGTGACATTGATTCCTTTCTTATAATAAACGTCTTGCTTCCAATCAACTGCTATCTTGATTAATACAGACGCTGCAAACAGACAAGAAGGGATGATTACGACAGTGAAGTTCGTAAGTTTAGTCTGTTTTGGAGTAATATTTATTTCTTCCTGTGGGAATCAGTTGATCGACTGGAAGCAAGTGGAAACTAAATGAAAATAGGAAACTAAACTTTTATGCTTACTGTGATGAATTTCATCCTGTTCTGAGGAAGTGTTTCTTATTGAGTAATTAAGTTCTTTAGAGTGAGAAAAAGAACCTTTGATATCTGTCACTACACTGACCAGCATGAGCAACATAGATTTTAAAGTTTAAGTCAATCTTAAAACTGCATGTCGAAGAGCCTCGAAGAATGAATTAAAGTTATAATTTGTTGTTGATCGTTTTCATAAAATATAGTGAACAATTGAATTGTGGAGAATCTATAACTGATCTAATGATGTGCAGCATGTATTTATATTTATATTTGTGTAGGAGATCAAAACGAATTTTAAGAATCCAGAACAGGCCTTTATTGGAGACCTGCGCTTATTTGTCAAAACGTGTAGCCACATCAGGCTTTTAATTGAGATCTGCGTCTATTAGGGACCCTGCTTTTATTGGAAGTTTTACGGTATGCAACAACTGTGCTAAAGCATGTGAGGATAACAAGAAAGAAATTCTATCTCTCTACATCTCCAGCAGGGACGTAAAATACGTTGTCACTGTGATCTATTGCATGTTGTCCTATCAGTAAACTAGACAGTTAGGACATTCTAAAGCACTGACACAGGTGATATGTTTGAACTTGAATGAACTTGAAACTAGACTTTGGTGCCATCTAGTGGTTGTTACAGGTGTGAAGTGAAATGTAAAAAACAAAACTAGATGTTTACACACTCAGATGCCAATTTATTAGTTTCACCTCACCAAACTATCTACAGCATATATGAATCATTAGATATAAGACACTGTGTGAGTGAAATAATGTATTAGTTTAATTAAATAACCAGAGCTGACGGATGTATTCATGTGTTTATTATCAAGTGTATTTATGAATGTTTACACGTTATTGAATACAATGTTATGCTCAGGTAAAGTTTGTATTATTACTATGCATCTTAAAGTCAACTCTTAAATTTATTAAATTATCTGAGAAAATGTTTAGAGATATTTATTTGAAAAGCTTGTGATATCTTTCATCTAAAGGAGATGTTGTCCAATCGTGACATTGGTCAGAAACAGATGTTGCATATCCTGCATGTTTATGTGTTAGACTTAAGTCATCAAAAGACTGTAGGTGTAGAGTTTTCAGATAATGATCAAATCTGAAACCATGCCATGCGGCAGCTGTGGTTAGTGGTTGGAACATTTAATTAACCACAAAAACATTAAGTTGAAATGCATTTCCTTCAAACTTCAACACGCACAGGAAATAAAACGTCTCTGTTTATCATGTTGTCATCGCCCAATCTTGTCATTGATTTTCCATTTCAGTCTTCCATTCACACCAAGTAGCACTCTATCGCCTCCAAAAATTCACACACAGACGAATGTGTGTGAATGAGTTTACGCCAAATTAAGGAGCAAACTTAACTCTATGTGAGCAGTTATTTTGTCTGTTATTACAGTCAGTGCCACAATAAAGTTGCTGCCACTGACGTGTCTCTGCTATCGTTGTAAAACAACTGCACAAACATACTGTAAATTTAAAAAAAAAAACTGCTAAACTGCTATTTGAAACCTGGCTAACAGCAATTCCTGGGCTGCTGTACTGTGTTTTTACCCTCTATTAAATGACTATCTGATGCTTATGGCATTGTCTGATGGCTTATACAAGTTTGAAGGCTCAAAAGCATCAGTATGCTTCAGATAAAGTGTTTGTTGGATTGTCAACAGCGTCTGACCCAACATACAGCAAACCTCGGTGTCCAGCAGGAACCAGTTTGTCAAAGTGGTTTACATTCTGCACACACGATGGCAATACAATGTTTAAACCCTGAACCCTGCCTAACACACTGTGAAACCGCCAAATACAGCGACAACTGTCACCTGTCAACTGAAACTTTTAACTTAGACATCTATACATTCACATTTTGACCTACAAATGACCAGATAAGTTCTTACTGGGATATTATGGGATGACTAACATTCTTTACACTGACATATCACTGTCTGCTTGGTCTCATCGTTCTAACTTTACATTATTCACCAGAATTATCCCACACACATACTTTATGTATGACTTATCTAGTGGTGGGCTGTTTCTTTGTGCTGACATCAGTTTGCTGAGTCACAACCAAAGCATGTCTTCTCTCTGTATTGTAAATCACATGATTCACAGGCCCCTCTCAAACCAGGAAGTGACAAGTTGCTGCCTCTTGTCATTTAGGTGAGTACATTTGCCACCCAGCCCTGCAGTGGGCATAGGGGGTATGTGGTAACAGGCCACTGAAACTCTCACTGGGTGATTTAGGTGTTGCAGTCAGAATCAGTGCCAGCCTTGGTGGTCTGACAGGGTCTTCGCTCTTACTCCAGTCTCCAAAGGTGATACCAGTGGCATTTTAGGTTTGGGTCAATCATTCAGGGTCATGTGCCACTTCCCAATAATCTTGCTGGTGCTTTTTTTCCTCATAAAGACTAAGCTGAAGAGCTAGAAAATCCATTGTAGTAAATTCAAGGTCGTAGCTGCTGTAGCTCCCAAGTCTCCATTCTTTTTGGTTTCAGATTTGTCTCAGTCTTGATGACTTTTGTTCTTCGTTCACTTGGCTGGAACAGTCTTGTGTCTCGACAAAGTCCAGAAGGGGTTTTCTTTCTTACTGTTAGACAGGCTGGCCAGCTGTTCTGATGTTTGCCTCATTAATAAAACTGTTTATTAGGATAATTTAATGTGACATAAATTAAACTTTGTCTATTTTGTTCTCATCTCTTGTATTCTGATAATTGTTTCTATCATCTAGCTAAATTGTTGTGTTGTTTCCACTAGATTATTTACTGATGTCTGAGCCTGGGGTCATGACATCTATTAATTTAATCTATGTAATTACCATAATGTGCTGCCAGTGGTGTGCTCAGGCTACATTATTTGACCAAATGGCAAATATAAAAAATAAGAATGCCTACTGCACCACCAGCTATTTACTGTCCCTGTTTCACACTCAACCAAGTGTATCCAAATCATAAAAAAGGAGATTATATTTTGACACTTGTCTCTCTTGCTTTCTAGCCATGGATACATTCACAACCTTTTGATATACGCATGATTGAAACCTTTGCTGCCACACAACCGCAGAATAAACAACTTAGTGTAACCCGGACAGAAACAGTGACAGTAAGCTAAACTTTCTGTTTCATGTTATTTAAAGAGCGAAATAAATAAACATGTCAAAAGGT